CAACATGCTAGGTTGGTTTCCCACTCGAATGCCCCGTGGCCGCCCCGTTTGGTTAGGTGCTGCTCGCCCCTTTCTCTCCATGTTCCCGGCTCCGGACCGTCTGCGTGTTCTGGGTCGGGGCGGGGTTCAGTTGCGGCAGAGACTCGGGCGGTTTTCGGGGGATGCCCCGTTCGGGTTGGGGACGGAGGTTTGAGCCTGTGCCTCCTGCCAAGGCTTCTGGGTCTTACCAGCGGCCCTTTCTTGTTGCCTTTCCCATGGGCTCTTGCTTTTCTTTACGGGCGGAGGGCTTGGAGGCCGGCTCTGCCCCGGGGCCTCTGTTGTTGGTTCCCGGGGCTGTGGGGGATGCCTACTAGCAGTTCTGGGGCGGTTTTGCCCCTTCAGGGTTTTTTTCTGCTGTTGGGCGTCGTTTTTCGCTCTTCCAGTCTGCTAGCTTCCCACATTTGCTGGCGTGTTTTTGTGTATTAAGCGTCAGTCACAGCCCCTGCTGGCGGCCATTTTCGTCTGCCGGTTTCCCGGCGTGGCCACCAGGGCGGCGTTGCGGTTTGTTTACATGCGTCTGGGTGTGCGAGCGAGCGTCTCTGGTGAGTTTTTAAAAAATTTGCAGGGTTTTTGTTCTCCTGTTGTCGTTTCTTTGTTTTCTGGTGTTTTCTTGCCGTTGCCTGTTCCTCTGGGAACGTTTGGGTGTTGATTTTGGGTCTGAGCCTCTGGGTTTAGGCTCAGTGCCCCTGGCTGGTATGCTTGCTCCCACACCTTGCCCCTCGGTTTTCGGTCTGTTGGGACCGTTTTCCCAGGGCGTTCTGCTGGGGTCTGTGCTTTGCCTTTTAGTGGTGTTCTCCGCCGGCAAATGTGGTGGTTTGGGCTCCCCCTGGTTCGATTCTGGGTTCCTTTGGGTTCCTTGGTTTCGTTCTGGAGGTTTCTTCCTCTTGGGCCCCCTTTTGTGGGTTCAGGGGACTTTGTTTCCTCGAGTGACCCGGTTCTGCCTTTTGGGGTTCCGGGGTCTTCCTGGCTTGCAGACTGAGCTTTTTGGGTCTTGGCACATGTTGTGGTTGTGCTGGGACTTTGTGGTTTTGCTGTCGAGGTGGGCCTTTTGATGCAGTTTTGTGCCTTCTTTGCCTGGCCGGCGTAGTGCTCTTTGCCACTAGTCGGCGGCTTGTGCTTTTACAATATATGTCCTCACCTAGTTGTGCTTGTGGGGGTTGAGCTCTGGCTCCTTGGTCCTGCCTCTCAACCGTCCGTCGACAGGTGTATCGGTTCCTGTGCCTCTTGGGCTCTGTCATGTCTCCATGTGACATTGTATGGGGGTCAGCCTCTTTACTTGTGTGAGGAGTCGCCACATTACTTCTTAGTGCTTTCCCGTTCCCATTCTGACACTCAAAAAAAAAAAAAAAAAAAAAAAAAAACTCTATCTGTGGCTCTTTTGGGTACTCAGTTTCCACCTGTGTCCCCTAGTGCGTGTGCCCCTTGTGTTACATATCCTGTCCTTCTCAACCCTGTCGATTCCCTTGGGTATCTTGTATGTGGTGATCAGGTCTCCCCTCACTTCCTCTTCCAGCGAAGTGTGGTTTCATTCCCGTAGTCTCTCCTCATGACTTCGGTAGTGTACTTTTTCTTTCTGAAGGGGTTCTGTTCCCTTCTCTGTTGACTGGGCGCTGGGGGAGCAGCTTGCTCTGTTGCCTCTCGCTTGGTCCCGCTGTTGGTGGGCGCTTTGGGTTGTCTTCCGGCCTCTGCTGGCGTCGGAGGACGGCTTCTCCCCCTTGGGGGGGGGTTCAGAGCTGGCGGGGTGGGCTTCTTCCCTGCGCTTCGTCATTTCCTCTTCGTGGGTGCGTGGGGCGTGGTCGATCCGCCCCATCCTTCTGGGCTTCCCGTCTGCTCTTTGCAGTCATGAGTTTTTCCCGTCTGCTCTTTGCAGTCATGAGCTTTTCCAGTCTGCAGTTCTTCTGGACTACTTCCGTCTGCGCCCTGGATCCTCTGCCCTGCTCGGAGGACTGTTGTCTCCTGTTCGGATTCTGTTAGGGCCGGGTGCATGGATGGTGGACCTGGACCTCCAGGCCACTTCTTGGCACGTTCCTCTCCAGTTTTTCTGGGGCTAGCACGGTTGGTAATTACCTATGTGTACTTACCTAAGTGTAGTTACAGGATGAGAGCTACTCTCGTGGTGTCCCGTCTTCCCAGCACTCTGTCATATAATGCTTTGATTATAATTGTCATATTGTCATATAATTATTGTCATATGTCATAATATGTCTTCATATGATTGTCATACAATGCTTTGGTGGTGGGGCTTTCAGGTTTGCTGTTTTTATTGCATTCCCTATTTTGTGACGGGCACTTTGTATACTCTTTGCATCTTTACCGGATCTTAGTGCCCTGTCTGCGTCTGAGATTCGGTGTCTGGCCTACCTCGACGACTGGCTGGAGTGGGCTCCCAGTCAGTCCGCTTGTCTGCTCGCCAGGGGATGGTTCTTTCCAGATCGCTGGGTTTGGTTTCCTGGTGATCTGGGGGTTTTACCTTCTGTTTCCGTCCCGGGTTCGGACCTGGGCCTTGTTTCAGGCTCTTGGGCCCCTCATTGTCTTCCCTCCAGAAGTGTTACTGTGGCTGTGGTCCCGCCTTTGGCTGTTCAGGAGGGGGTCCCGGGTTGCTCAGAGGTTGCTTGGGCGGTTGTGCGGGAGTTTGCACTTCGGCGTGCTTGTCTGCCCGCGGAGTCGGGTTTGGCTCCGGCGTCGGTTGGTTCCTACGGAGACTCCACTTCCGCCTCTTGCATTCCTTGGGTTCCTCTGGGGATCTGGTGTTGGTGCTGCGTCACCAGCTTCCTCTTTGGGGTTTTCGGGGTTCCGTGCCTTGGCGGCTCCCCGAGCCTTCGCTCGATGTGTTCACGGACGGGTCGTCTCTCGGCTGGGGCTTTGTGACCAGTGCTCACCAGGTCAGCCGAGGTTGATGGAGTCTGTCTGTCCGTCGGGCTCACAGCCCGGTTCAGGTGTTCATGGCTGTCTGGTTTGCGCTTCGGAGGGTTTGGGTCACTAGGTACTCTACCATTCAGCTCTGTTTGGACTGTTCTCCGGTGGTTCTTGCCGGAACCACAGGGGGGTTTGGTTAACAGTGTGGTTCGTGTCCGGGGTGTGTCCTGCGTCCTGGTGGACAGCTGTCTCGGTTCATTCCTCTTCGTGGGTTGGCCAGTCGTCGCCGATGCGTTTTGTTGGCTCTGTTGGGCTTATGGACTCGTGGCCATGAACGTCTTCGGGTCGGCGTGGTCTAGGCGTCGCCCGTTTTGTGGCGCCCTTCCCACCTGCGAGGTCTTCACGGTGGAGGCTTTCGGCTGGCCTGGTCGAGGTGGGGGGTACCTGTACCTCTTCTCCCGGTCCAGCTGTTGCTTCGGGTTCTGGCTCAGTTGCAGCCCATTCCCACGAGAACAGTCCTTATGGTTCCACTGTGGCCGGCCCGGCCTTCTTTTCAGACGCTGCTTGATAGGTGTCCGTACCCGGGGCGTTTTTCCTGAGGCTTCGCCTCTTTCAGCAGGCCGAATCGGTCCTGTCCGTGACTGGTTCGGCCTTCTCTTTGGCTCTTCGCGTCTGGTATTTTGACGCAGGTATCGCCATCTCTATGGTGTTCAGGTGGCTTTGTTGCCGGTGTCCCACCTGCGAGCTTCGTCTTGGAGACTGTATGACGTTTATTACGTCTTCTCGCGTTTTGTTTCCCCTCCGGCCTGCTCATGAGTCGCCTGAGCCATCCTGGTCCTTGTTCAGGGTGCCTTCTTCTCTTCCCCTCAGTTTGTGGTAGCCCCTTCAGTTTCAGTTTCCTCCTCTTTGGTACTGGTGGTAGCTTTATTGGTGTGCAGCCTTTCTCTGTCCTGGCGACGGTCGAGGCGGCTGCTTTCCGGAGGGGTTCTTGGGGTATTGGTACTTGTTTGGTTTGGCCTAGGGGTGCGTCCTGTGTTGTCCAGTTGTGCTTTTTGCTGTTGCCGGCGTACCATGCCTGGGGATGCGCTGTGGTTGATCCGGTTCCTTCGTTCCCTGTTTTCAGGGCTCGGGTCTCCCGGGTCGTCCGCAGTGTTTTCCTTCTTACTGCGGTCTGTCTTTGCGCCCGTGCTGTTCAGACGTTTGCAGCAATTGCTGCTGTGTTGGTGACGTCTCGGGCTCATTTCGGGCGCAGGGAATTGTGGGTCGCACAGGTTTTTGGCCGCCCATCCATGTGTGCGTCTGTTCTTGGGCGTTCTTGTTGCCTTGGGTCGCAGGTTTGCGTCCGGTTGTCTTGGCTTTGCGTTGCAGAGTTTGTGGCGGCCGCCTCCCGGGTTAGCCCTTTCTTTTCCTTCTCTTTGGGTATGAAGCTCCAGGGAGCCGTAGGGGCTCCCCACAGAAAACCAGCGTTGAATGTAATGAAACGCCATTTTCTGGGTGAGCCCCGGAGGCTCCCTGGAAACCCTCCCTCCCACCGGTCGGCGGTTTTTTCGCGTTGGTTGACGCTTAGCTTCCGAACTGGAGCTTGGCAGCCGGCGCGGTAGGTCCGGGGCTCCCCCCTCCCCCTCCCGGGGTGGGGAGGGCTGCGCGGACGATCGGCGCGGCAGTAAAGTGTGATGTTTGCTTGTTTGCTTGTTTCCTTGGGATTGTAGGGAGTTTTCTACCTCTCTGTTCGGTTTTTGTTGTAGTTTCTTACCATGTGGGGTTTGTTTTGTTACGCCTACCTTTCTGGGTGCCTAACCCTGGTCGATGGCAGATAAGGAAAACCCCCAACCATATGGGGTTTTCCAGGGCCATTGCTCCCTGAAACCTCTCTGAAGGGGCCAGGTTCTGGCGCTGGTCCCTGGTAGGTCTGAACTCCTTAGCTAATGTCCCGGTCTAACATAACACACATTAGCCCGATAAGCTCCAGGGAGCCTCCGGGGCTCACCCAGAAAATGGCGTTTCATTACATTCAACGCTGGTTTTTTGGGTAAATGCTCTTCCCAAATGTAAAATTGTATATCTCCATGTGTATTGTACTAATTGCCTTTTGTTATAAATTCCAGTTATATGTGGATGTGGTGGAGAAAGTGTGGGCTTCTGTAGCATCTGGCGGCACTGTGATACGAGCAGAGGTGACAGGTTCCATCCTGGCCCGCTGCTTCTTGCCTGGCAACCCGACACTGACTCTCACCCTTAACACACGGCTTTCAACTACTCCAGAAGAAGGTGCAATAAGATATGAACAAATTTACATTAGTGTTTTTTTTTATGACATTGTATCAGATTATAAATGGAACGTGTAATTATGACATGTTTGTTCTATATATGTTCATTATTAACACAATTCTTATTCTGAAGTCCAAGTTAATGATGTACCTCTTTATGTTGCATATTTCTGAGGGGAGCCCAGTAGGCTCCATGAAGGTATCCAGACTGATAGGTGCTATTTAGTTTGGGGACATCAGTTATGGGAGTTCTATTGCCTACCAGGGTCCATGAGCCAGAACCTGGCCCGCTCAGAGAGGCGCAGGGAACAATGGCCATATGAGTTCTCTGTTTTTCGAGTATGTCATGTCTGCCATTGACTGGGAAAGGCACCCAGAAAGGTAGGCAAACCAATACAGACCCTCTACTGGTGAAAACTGCAACCTATGTCCAAACAGAGCCAAAGAACTCCCCCCAAAAGAAAACAAACAAACTTACAAACAAGCAAATTGTCATCCAACTAGCACGCCCGCTCGTTAATGTCTTCCCCTCCTTCGAGAGGGGAAAGGGAAAGTCTGCTCAGGCAAGCCTGCAACTCACACCTCCATTGGGGGCACACGTTACCTTTGGTCTGTCTGTCTTTACTTGCCTGTCTGTATTTTGCCCTATGTGGCTGTGCCAGCTGTGCAGAGTAGTTGTGTTGGCCTTGTGTTCTTCAGTATGTAAGGCAACATGCGTTTGGGACTCGCTTCCCTAGCCACCCTGTAAATACTACCCTTGCGTGTTCAGGGTTCTCTTCCCTGGGGCATCCAGGACTCACTCTCATAGTGGTCTCCATCACCTGATTCATGGGGATTTCCATCTAGCCCTGGGTAGGGAGTGATTGTTCTTGGGTGGGGTGCACTGTGGCCAAGTGCAACCTGCACACACACGGTGGCCAAGTCTCTCTCTGAATGCCAGTTTGTTTGTAATTGGGATTTTTTATTTATTTATAGCCCCTTATTATGAAGGAGGTCTGCCTAGCTTCCCATTAGGTCCACCTAAGTTGAGTTTAGTAGTTCACCAAACCCCCCACTAGAAAAAGAAGGTACGATGACGTTTCGGTCCATCCTGGACCATTCTCAAGTCGATTGTGATGAGGGAAGGAAGCGAAGGCAGTAAATAGGCAAAAGAGAGGTGAGGAGGAGGAAATCTTAGAGGAAGAAAAAACAAGGCAAAGGGTACGAAAGGTAAGGTGTAATAAAGGGGGGGGGATAGTAATAGGAATAAGAAAGGGATCATAAGAGTAAACAAGGGAAAGAAAAAGAAAGAAAGAAAGAAAGATAAATGTAAGGGTAAGCTTATGTTAGGTCATGTTTGTTAGAAAATTTAGAACATTTGAGTATATACTGTGAAAGGGAAGTGTCAACAGCAACAAAGTCAGGACTCGAGTTTATGTTGGATATGTTGTGTATCAGAGCTGATTCAACAAGACAGTGTCTGTGTAGTGTAGAGGCAGGAAATATTATTTTGGAGGAAGACCAATCAATAGGATGATTGGAATCCCTAACATGACGGCCAGTTTCACCAAAGTAATTGTTTAGTAGTTTCTGACGTGGTTCACCTCTGGTCTGCTCATGCGCCGCCTGAGCCGTCCTGGTCCTTGGATCGGGTACTCTCTTTACTTCTTAGTTTGTTGTGGCCCCTTCGGTTCTGGTTTGTTTTCCAGGGCTCTTTTTTTTTTGTTGGCATTGGCCTCTGGGGATCAGGTCAAGGAGCTTCTTGCTCTCCTCTGGTGCAGGGGTTTCTACTCTTTTGGTCCTTCGTGTTGGGTTGTTTGCTTGCAGCAATCTCCCTCTTTTCGGGCAGCAACTGTAGCGGCTGCTTTCCTGGGGAGGTCCTTGACGTTGTTGATGCTTGGTTGGCTTGGCCGGGAGTGCATCATGTGTTGTGCTAGGTTGCGGCTCTCCACCGTTCTTTGCGTGCCACGGCTTTCGTGGCCGGGGATCGCGCTTTGAGTTGCTCCGGTTTACCTTCTTCCCTGTTCCAGGGTGCATTTCTCTTGGGTCATTCATAGGATGGTTCGGTCCAGCCAGCCCGTGATCTATTCCTGTGCCCCGACGTTCATACGTTTGCTGCGCTTGCTGCTGTCTTTGGCAACATGTCTTGGGTTGTCGTTCGGGCGCGCGGTTTTTGGCGGTTATCTTGAGATGATTTCGGGGCTTAGTGTCCCTGCGGCCTGGTCCTCGACCAGGCCTCCACCCCCAGGAAGCAGCCCGTGACAGCTGACTAACACCCAGGTACCTATTTACTGCTAGGTAACAGGGGCATCAGGGTGAAAGAAACTCTGCCCATTGTTTCTCGCAGGCGCCCGGGATTGAACTCGGGACCACAGGATCACGCGTCCAGTGTTCTGTCCGCTTAGCCACCAGCTCCCATGCCGGTGGGTCGGACAGGGTCCTGGCTGCACATTCCTTCGTTGATGTTCCTGGGCCTTGTTGGGCCTGTGTGGCCTTGGGTTGGTAGATGCAGCTTGGACCCTGTCCAGGCCGCCAAAAACTGCGCGCCCGAACGACAGCTTAAGACATGTTGCTGAAGACGGCAGCAAGCGCAGAAAAATATGCCACTTACGATCTCGGCTTTGCGTTGGGGAGAGTAGGGAGCGTGGATTGTGAGGGAATTGGATGGATGGATAGGGGGACTAGATGGATGGAGGTGGACTGGATGGATAAATGGATGGATGGATGGACTGGATGGTGGGGGGGACCAGATGGATGTATGGTGGACCAGATGGATATATGGTGGACCAGATGGCTGGATGGTGGGGGAAACTGGATGGATGGATGGTAGAGGAGGACTGGATGGATGGATGGATGGTAGAGGAGGACTGGATGGATGGATGGATGGTAGAGGAGGACTGGATGGATGGATGGATGGCATGGATGGTGGGGGGACTGGCGGATGGCAGATGAGTGAGTTGAGAAAACAGGTGGGAGAGGGGTGATGGGAAAGAAAATCTTTCAGAAACACCAGTCCTAAAATCATGTAAGGGAAGAACACGTGGAGAGCGAGTGGGTAGGCAAGTGATAGTGAGTGGGGAAATCAGTAGCAGGGCGGGTAGCAAAGTGTGTGGATACGCAGACAGCAGTGGTCGGGCAGGTGTCTGTGTGTGCAGGCAGGCAGTAGTGCGATGGTTGGCAGAGTGGGTATAGTGGGCGTGCAGGCATCAGATTGAGCAGGTGGCAGATAGTAGACTAAGGAGGTGGGTGGCAGATGAAAGACTAAGAAGGTGGGTGACAGATGGTAGACGAAGGAGGTGGGTGGCAGATGAAAGACTAAGGAGGTGGATGACAGATGGTAGACGAAGGAGGTGGGTGGCAGATGATAGACTTAGGAGGTGGGTGGCAGGGCAGGCACAGAGTGGGTGGGTAGCAGTATGGTCAGGAGAGAGTGGGTGGGGCAGATTATTAGCAGAGAATTAGCAGTGAGCAGGCAGGCGGTGGTGTGAGTTGGTGAGCTTCCGAGTTCCGACTAGGACTAACACAGGAGCTGGTCACCCCCGGTCCCTTCCTTAGACTCCCCATCCCGCACACTGGACCCTCCCCAATACCTCTATCCCTCCACCCCTCCCACTACCTATATCCCCCACCCTCCCCTCTACCTCCATCTCCACATCCCCCACACTGGTGACCTCCTGCTGTACCTCTCCCAGCCATATATGGAGTATGGATGGCATTAATTTGGTGGGCTTCCTTGCAACCAGCTGATGGATTGGGAGCCAGACTCCCTGAGCGCCTAACATTAATCTCTTATTGTTTACTGACTGGTTGTGACTGTGAAAGCCTGATTAACTGTGAAAGATTGATTGACAGTGAATGGCTAAGTGACTATGAATGCCTGATTGACTGTGAATGACTGATTGACTGTAAATGCATGTCTGACCATAAATGCCTAACTGGTTGCTACCACAACTGAGCATGCTTGACTGCCTTTGGTTATGACTGACTGTGACTGGTCTTGACTGTGAATGCTTGACTGACATGTGACTGACTGACTGGTTCTGACTGGCTACCACATAACAGAGGCAGTAAAATGTGTGAAAGGAAAATCTGAAACCAGTGATGCAGATATGAGAGCATTTAAGGCGAGCAGGGGACGATCTCACCACTTCCTCCCTCCTCCTCACCCTCCCCATACACCAACATCGCTCCTTCCTCCCTCCTCATCGTCTCCCATACGCCAACAAAAGTCCTCAGTAAAGGTAAAATGCATAAATGTTCACTTATTTTATTTATGGTTTATATTTATACCTGATTGTTTTGTGTATGAAAAATATGAGGAGTATTCTGTATAAAATGTATTTTTAAGTTAATATTTCTGGGGAAAGTCCCTACGGTTCCCCGGAGCTATCCAAGCTGATAGGGATAGTTTTAACTTTTGGCATCAGTCGATGTAGGTGGAGTTCTAGGTCTACTGGGGACCACGGCCAGAACCTGGCCCCCTCAGAGAGGTACGAGGAGCAATGGCCTATAGAAATGCACATGTGATTTTGGAGCATTCTATATTTGCCATCGACTGGGATAGGCACCCAGAAAGGTAAGTGCCCCAAAACAAACCCCTATTCTGGTAAAACCAACGAAAATAATGAAACAAATGGACAGAACTCCCCCAAGGGAAAACGAGCAAACAAGCATGACGTCACACGAGCAAACAAGCATGACTTCACACCAGCCATGCCACATATCTGCACAGCTCCCCCCCTCCACGGGAGGGGAAAACGGGGACCCCCAGACCCTTGTGCCAGCGATCCACACCTTTAGTTCCTCGGCTGATGGGATTCGGCTTGGTCATTTTGGCTCCATCTCCAGATCCTTATTTGTGCTGAGCCTGGATTCAATACTTCTCTAAGGTGGTGTGCGAGCTGGGAGTAATATTCACAGGTACTTGGGATGCATGTGCTTAGGGTTACCTTCCCTGAGTGCCCTGTAAGTACCGCCCTTGGGGATTGGGATTATCTTCCACGAGTCACCTTGGGTCTACTT